CAGTTACAGTATGTGTCAGAGCTGCACTTCAAGCTGCAGAAGTTAGTGTCAGATAACCAGGATGATGTCATCATCCTATGACAAACATCAGCAATAGCCGCTGCTAGACACCGCTAGATACCGCTAGCCGCTGCTGAAGATATTTAAAATCTAAATTCAAAATGTGTTCATAAAAACAGTATGATGTGGTCCAGTAACTTGAAGTACAGCTCAGACACCAGCCATAACTGAAAGTTATGGTTTAAGTTTAAGCTTTAGCTGCATTGGAGCGCTAGTGGTTGCTGTTGTCTCATGATGATGACATCATAACATGAGCCGAGCACCAACAGCAAATGCTGTGTTCCATTCTAAAATAACTAAATGTGAACTTCAACATTTAGGGTTTAATTTTTACATTTAGATTTAAAAATTTAGATTTTGAATTTAACATTTAAATGTAACATTTACTAAAAATTAGCTTAATATAAGAACGGTGAGGTAAACAATGAAAAAAATGGTAGTGAAAATTTTTAACATGTATTCTGATTTTGTATAGTTTAGTAGGTAAACATATTGTTGTTTTAGTCTTTATGAAATTGTGACTTAGAATAGGGAAAAAAATAATTTATTATTTTTTAATAAGCTTTGGAGAAGGGTGGGATTAAATATGTTTATTTTACTTCTTCCCATTCCTTTTCAAATATGTTGATTTTGTTATAACTTTTTATCATTTTTTTGTTTTGTTCTCTATACATGTTTGAAATAAACTAACATTTTATTTTACACTTGGTGCCTCATAAAGATCAGCTGATGCTTGTTGACTTCATGCAGCAGAGTGCTGAGTCATCCCTCTGTTTCAGGTGGTTTCAGCAGGGACAGAACCCTTACACCCGCTCTCAGGACTGGCTTTTCTCTGGAGGGTATTGGGACCGAACATACAGCCAGCTGCCAGATATTTATTAATCCACACAACAAAGACTATCAGTATCTTGTTTTTATTTATTTAATGGAAAAGAAGCTGCAGTGGTTGAAGCACTACAAGAAACGTGAACCTGCGCAGTCTGGGCCCATTCTGGATCAGAACAAACATCATTAATCAGCTGCTGATTCTTCCAGTTTCACCTTCAGTCAGGAGCAGCTGCCTTTATTTTTTACTGTGTAATCTTGTTTTGAATGTATAGAACTATGTGTGTGTGTGTGTGTGTGTGTGATCATGGGCTTCAGTTAAACAGCAGTCTGTTAGCAGGCTGATGTAAATGTTTGTTTTGTGAGTTTTGTCTTATAAACAGCTAATCTGAACTTCCTGCTGGCCTTGATAAGCTTTATAAATCAATTCATCTCAGCTGTGCTCTGCACCAGCTCAACSACATTAAAGAACTTTGTAAAAAGATCAAATTAGATCAGGTTTTTACTGAAACTCTAAATTGTGAATATTGTACAAAGAACATAAAAATGGTTCGAATTTATGAAGTTATAAAAACATTCTATTTTAAGTGAATTTGCATCCATATAAAACATTGAAAGTATTTTATTGTGTCTAAATAAAAGATTTCAATGTATTTTTTCATGAGTTATTGGATGTTTTTTACTGTAGCTCTATGATAGACAATAAAACTCCACTTCCTGTTTACTACTTTACTTCCTGTTTACTACTCCACTTCCTGTTTACTACTTTACTTCCTGTTTACTACTCCACTTCCTGTTTACTACTTTACTTCCTGTTTACTACTCTTCTTGTTTACTTCTTTACTTCCTGTTTACTACTTTACTTCCTGTTGACTACTTTACTTCCTGTTTACTACACTACTTGTTTACTACTTTACTTCCTGTTTACTACACTTCTTGTTTACTACTTTACTTCCTGTTTACTACTCCACTTCCTGTTTACTACTCCACTTCCTGTTTACTACTCTACTTCTTGTTTACTACCTTTTTTCCTGTTTACTACGCACTTCATGTTTACTACTCTACTTCCTGTTTACTACTCCACTTCCTGTTTACTACTTTACTTCCTATTTACTACTCCACTTCCTGTTTACTACTGTACTTCCTGTTTACTACTCTACTTCTTGTTTACTACCTTTTTTCCTGTTTACTACGCACTTCATGTTTACTACTCTACTTCCTGTTTACTACTCCACTTCCTGTTTACTACTTTACTTCCTATTTACTACTCCACTTCTTGTTTACTACTCTACTTTCTGTTTACTACTTTACTTCCTATTTACTGCTCCACTTCCTGTTTACTACTCCACTTCCTGTTTACTACTTTACTTCCTATTTACTACTCCACTTCTTGTTTACTACTCTACTTTCTGTTTACTACTC